AAAACGGTTATGAATTTGAAATTCAAAAACTTACCTTGGTCGAGTTGTGGAACTCGATCGAGTTGCCCTGGTTTCTAGCTCGATCGAGCTGTCGGTCGAGCTGGCTCCTTGACACCTAAACTTAACTTATTGAAAGGTTAAAAACATAAAGATAGATAGAAATTGCATAAATAGAATATGTACAAGGATAAACATGGGACTTCCTCCCAAGTGAGCTTGTTTAAGGTCCCATAGCTTGACCTTTACCTTCTTAGGCATTGGTTGAGCTAGTCCCACCATCAAGGGTGATAGTGAGGACTTGAGACAGAAGCTCCTTTAGCTTGGTTGGGTCCCTGGACTGTTCTGAAGTCACCAAGGCCTTGGCTCTAGAGAATGGCCTTGATCTCCCCTTGTACCTTATCTTGTACTCAATCTTCCCATTTTCAAACTTGGTGGGGAACAAAGTCATTGTGAGCTGAGATGGCTTGACTGAAGGGGCCTGAGCTGGTGGATCCTTTCTTTTATCTCCTGGTCTTGCCTTAGAGGCTGCATCCTCCCCTTCTTTAGAGCCCTTCCTAGTGGCTCATCAAACAAAGCTTGAAGGCTCTCTTCATCAAGCACACAAGGGGCTTGAACAAGTCGCTCAGCTCTTGGCCTATCAGATCGTGGTTTCTCAACTCTAGCCCTCTCAAGACGTGGCTTCTCAATCCTTGGTCCTCTCTCATCCTTATCCTTCCCAACTCTTGGTTCCTTGTCAACCCTTTCCTTCACAACCTTTGTAGCTCCATGACTCTTAGAACTGAGATTGGTACTGTCAATTGTGGCACAAAAGTCTGAACCTCTAGGCTGCAAGCGATATGACACCAAACTATTCACCTTGTGAAGGATCACTTCTTGCTTGTGAAAGTCAATTGAAGCGCCAACTGTACTAAGGAAAGGGGTTCCCAATAAAAGGCAAATCCTTCTCTTCTTCCATTTCCATCACAGTGAGATCAGTTTGGATGATGCATTCTCCAATTTTCAAGTGATAGTTCTTGAACACTCCAAGAGGAGACTTAGAAGTTGCATCTCCAAACATGATTGAAGTAGTAGGGCGCTGCAAGGCTCCAGCTATGCCTAGCTTCTCTGCCATGGAGAGAGAGATCAGATTGATGCTTGCTCCAGAATCCACTAAGGCATTGTCAATCTCAAGATGCCCAAGTGTGCAAGGGAGAGTGAATTTCCCTTGATCCTTGACCTTTGGTAGGAAGGTGGGTGAAGTAAGCAGGTTGAACTGATGAGTAGACTCTTGTAGGACCTCTGAAACTTTATCACTGTTGGCTAGAACATCCTTGACCATTTGCATTTGATCAAATGCCTCACTCATGCTATCCATAGGAGGCAACTCAATTCCAATCCCACTGAGATCTCTTCTGAACTTGTGAATCACTTCCTTGTGACCTTGACTAAGTAGGCGAGACGAGGAAGCGGCAACCGGTTGATAAGGATCAAGCAAAACAGGCTGTCGGACAGAAGAGGTTCGGACTCGATCGAGCTGCCGATCGAGCTTGTCGTGCGAGCTCAACTGGTGAAGTGTGAATGGCCACAGTAGGTGCATGCACTTCTGGTTGATCAATCTGGACTCCAGGAGCCTCAGCAGCAACAATCTCTTCATCATTCAGCAGTAAACAAAAATCTTCAATGACCCTTTCTTGATCCTCTTCTTCAACAAGTCCTTCTTGAGTGAAGATGACCTTGCACTGTTCCTTGGGGTTCTGAATAGCTTTACCAGGTAGTTGTCCTTGCTTTGTAGCAGCAGCAACAGAAGAAGCATGATTCTCCAGAGAGTAAACCCTTGTGTTGAGGTTCTCGATCTTAGAGTTTATTTCAGCTAGCTTCTTGCTTGTGTCCACTACCCCATCAGCTTGCCCTTGAAGTAGTTGCTTTAGCATTGCTTGAGCTCATTCTCTTGTGAAGGTGCAGGCTGGGGTGGTGGGGGAAGCCTGGTGGGATATTCATTTGTTGTCCAGGGAAAGTGCCTTGTGGTCCTTGGTAATTGTTCTTTTGACCATACCCATGTTGTGGCCTTGACTCGATCGAGCTGCTTGTTGTTGAGGATAGACTTGGTCCTGAGGGTTAGCAACATCAGTGTTGCGGTATGACATGGCAGGGTTGGACTTGTAATTATAGTATCCTTTGTTGTAACCTCCTTGCCCATTGCTCATGTAGCACACCTCAGCAAATTGTGTATCCTCCCCTTCTTGGACTGGTTCCATCTCCTCAGCAGACACAAAGTTGACTTTCTTCATTGTGGACTGAGCTAGGATCAGCTTATCCAACTTCTCATTCAATGCCTTAACATCTTTTCTCAACTTTTCGTCTGACTCGATCGAGTGGTGGGTCGAGCTCCGGTTGGTGCGATCATACTCTTCTCCATAGCTTCCATTTGAGTTAGCTATGTTCTCCACAAGTTGCCAGCCATCATCTACATCCTGGTTGAGGAAGTTCCCATTGCTAGCTGTGTCTAGCATCTCCCTATACCTAGGCAAGCATCCTCTATAAAGAGTGGAGAGTAGTGATTCATTGTTGAATCCATGGTGTGGGCACTGACTTGTGTAGCCTTTGAACCTCTCCCAAGCCTCTGCGAATGTCTCATTGTTTCGCTGGATGAAGCTGGATATCTCTCCTCTAAGCTTGGCTGTGCGACCGGTGGAGAAAAACTTAGCAAGAAAGGCCTTCTTGCATTCATCCCAAGTGGTGATTGTGCCATGGGGCAAGCTCTTCTCCCATTGGTGAGCTTTGTCAGCTAGAGACATAGGAAAGAGTCTCAGCTTGATGGCATCTTCAGAGACACCATTGATCTTTGTCAAATCACAAAGCCTATCAAACTCATCAAGGTGGTCAATGGGGTCTTCACTTGGCAATCCATGGAACATCTTGTTCTGGACAAGGTTGATCATTCCCAGCTTGATCTCAAAGTTGTGGTTCTGCACTGGTGGTGGAACAATCCCTTGTCTCTGTTGGTGGCGGTTTGGAGCATCTCCTTGACCAATCGGTCGAGTTTGCCTAGCTCGACCGAGTCCATTGCCCAAAGGGTTTCCATTCCCCTCTGGTACATCCATTGTATCAGCAACAAGCACCTCAGGTTCCTCTTGTACCCTCTGTGACCTCTGAACCCTCTTTCTACCCGTTGTAATGTCTAGCTCGACCAAGTCTTCAGTTAGACCGACTCGATCGAGTTCGCATACACCTGCAAAAAGAGACAAAAACCCAGCAGTACAATAGAACAGGGGTGGTATAGCTTGATCGTCCAAGTGTGTTTGAAACTCAAATGCAACAAAAATATTCCCAAATCGGCAACGGCGCCAAATTGATGATAGGATTTGTGTGTGGATGTGAAAAGATATGAAATGAGATGAGTGGAATGCAATCAGTGGTAATGATGGTGGTAAGATGCAAACACAAACACAGTCAACAATTCCCTTAACCATCATAGTCATTAAGTATAAGAGGTTATCAATCCAAAATGGGAAACTTGTCACTCTATGAGAATATGAAACAACCAGAAAGTCAAGCAAGCAGTTATAGATTTGAAGTAACACTAACAACCTAAAAATGAAATGCAGTGCAATAAAAGTAAACAAAGCAGTGAAGTCAGCTCGACCAAGACTCGAGTCGAGTGGAACAGAGTACCAGCTCGATCGAGTTTAGGGTCGAGTTGAGACAAAAAAGCTAAAGGTGACGACTTTAACAAGATAAAGAGAGAATTAGGGTTCAAGACAGGGTTTTGCAATCAAAGGAATCTACACTTAATCAATCTAGCTCTTAAAACTCCTTGTATCAAGGCTTCTCTTGATATTGGGCTTCTCAATGCCTAGCCAACCCTTTCCCAAGGTGGAGGCTATCAACCAAGGAATGATCTCAGAAACAGGGGGTTAGCCAGTGAGAATCAAACCTTGGAGGCCATAGGATCATTGCCCAAACTAATCCATCCAACCCCTTAGACCTCTATTGTCTAGAGCAAGAGATATTGGAGCTCTTAGTGGATCTTTTCCAGCGAATGCCATCACTTCGTGTGGGGAGTCGCCTAAGGACTTACAAGCCAGGGGTAGTGGTCATGTAGCCTTAAGATCTATCCAAAAGAGAGAGAATCTAGATTAAGACCATAAGCTAGAAGGATTAAGCATATGAAACCTCTAATCTATCCCATCTCAAACCCTAATGGGTAACTACTCACTACACATGAATGTAAACACAAGCAAATGCAATAAAAGAGACATCATAAGAAAGAGGAGATGAAATTAAACAACTTTTATTGAAATAAGCAAGTGCAAATACAAAGAGATTATCCAGGATCTAGGATTCAAGAAGCAAGAGCTTCAAGAACACAAAGATGGGATTAGGTTCTAAAAAGTAAAAGACAATAAATTAAAGAAACTAAAACAAAATAATCTAAAGCTTGGTGGTTTTTTCGTGGCTTAGAGCCTTTAAATACAAGAGGATTAGGTTTAGGGTCAAAGGAAAGTCAAGGGGGAAGCAACATTTTTCGGGTTTGACTTTGACTTCTCAGCTCGATCGAGTTGAAGCTTGGCCGGTCGAGTTGAGGAACTCGACCGGTTGGTCGAGTGGACGGTCGAGCTGGTCTTCAAGATGGCTTCTCCCTTCTTCCTTTGCGTATCCAGTTGAGCTGCTTCCATGTGCCAAGTCCCTCCATGCTCCTTATGTCCCATATGCTCCAGAATGCTCCAAAAGACCTATTTCAAAGGACCAAACATGCATATGTATGCAAATGCAACCTAAAACTAACATGAATGCATAAGAAGAGAAAAGGAACAAGATATGATGCAAATGGAAGCTAAAACTATGCAAAAGATGCATAAAAGATGTGCTAAAACTATGTAAAATGCAAGTACATCACACATTCATATCTGGACATTCTTTACCATTTTCATATCCCTTTGCTTGTCCAGATAGCTGATCTCTATCTTTGAGACAGTTACCACACCTTAAACCTAAGCCTTTTCATTTCAAACCCCATATTATCTCTTGTGCGATTGTGAGAACCTTTCTTGGCTTTGCTTAGCATAAGGTGTTGTGTTTAAACCGGCAGGGGCAGTAGTTCTAGTTGTCTAGTTCTCTTGGGATTGTTTTCAGGCTAAGTTTGGGGGTGCCAACTCGAGCTCGATCGAGTTGGGTGTAAAAACCAGAAAAGTGGTAAAAGTTGGGAAAAACCCAAAGGAAAAAGAGTTTAGTTAAGTCCAGGGAGTTGGCAGTGTTAAAAAGGGTCTAGTAAAGGTTTGGGAAGTTAAAAAAGGAAAGTAAAAAGGGTTCTAAGTAGAATGAAAAGAAGGCAAAGCCTCAAGTGTCAAAAAGGAAAGAAAAGTTCCCTAAGTGTTTAGAAAATCCCAAACCGCTAGATGTTACCTCAAGAAGCCTCTCCCTAGGAAGTTCTTAAAAGAAAAGTGAGCAAAGCTCCTCAGTTTCAAAGGCGAAATGCCAAAAAGGGTAGTTAGGATTTTGTTCTAAAAAGCTCTAAGTGTTGAACTCGATCGAGTTAGGATTAGGCGGCTCGAGCTGCTGTTCTTGCATCATCTTTGGTTCTAACACTTAGCCTTCTGCCAAAGCAAAGCCACTTTCTTGAGAGATCCCTGTTACTAAACCACCATACAAAAGAGACCCTCTTTGTCTCTTAACCCATAAACCCTTGAAACCAAATGAGTTGATTGATCTTGCATGTTTTTGGTTCACTGTTTTTGCTTAATGAATGTTAAAGGGATTTGCTGATTTGAATGCATTGTTTGAGTGACTGTGAAGTGGGATTGATGTTGATAAGCATGGTTAAATCTTAATGAATATCTCTCACCTTGTTGCATTCTAGAATCTCTAAGTTGGACATTTAGCAAATCGCTTTTGAGGACATGTTTTTAAGTGTTGAATCAGCTTGTTTTCAAACCTCATCTCTTTCTTGTTCTATTTGTTTGCTTGAGGGCAAGCAAAGTTCAAGTTTGGGGGTGTTGATGTACTTGCATTTTACATAGTTTTAGTACATCTTTTATGCATCTTTTGCATAGTTTTAGCATCCATTAGCATCATATCTTGTTCCTTTTCTCTTCTTATGCATTCATGTAGTTTTAGGTTGCATTTGCATACATATGCATGTTTGGTCCTTTGAAATAGGTCTTTTGGAGCATTCTGGAGCATATGGGACGTGAGGAGCATGGAGGGACTTGGCATGGACGCAGCTCAACTGGATACGCAAAGGAAGAAGGAGGAAGCCATCTTGAAGACCAGCTCGACCACCGGTCGACCTCAACTCGACCGGCCAAGCTTCAACTCGATCGAGCTGAGAAGTCAACAGTCAAACCCGAAAAATGTTGCTTCCCCCTTGACTTTCCTTTGACCCTAAACCTAATCCTCTTTGTATTTAAAGGCTCTAAGCCACGAAAAAACCACCAAGCTTTAGATTACTTTTTGTTTTAGTTTTTTTAATTGTATTTTACTTTTTGAACCTAATCCTCATCTTTGTGTTCTTGAAGCTCTTGCTTCTTGAATCCTTAGATCCTGGATTATCTCTTTTGTATTTGCACTTGCTTATTTCAATAAAAGTTGTTTATTTCATCTCCTCTTTCTTATGATGTCTCTTTTATTGCATTTGCTTGTGTTTACATTCATGTGTAGTGAGTAGTTACCCATTAGGGTTTGAGATGGGATAGATTAGAGGTTTTATGCTTAATCCTTCTTGCTTATGGTCTTAATCTAGATTCTCTCTCTTTTGGATAATCTTAAGGCTACATGACCACTACCCCTGGCTTGTATGTCCTTAGGCGATTCTCCACATGGAAGTGATGGAAATCGCTGGAAAAGATCCACTAAGAGCTCCAATATCTCTTGCTCTAGAAATGAGGTCTAAGGGGTTGGATGGATTAGTTTGGGCAATGATCCTATGGCCTCCAAGGTTTGATTCTCACTGGCTAACCCCCTGTTTCTGAGATCATTCCTTGGTTGATAGCTTTCACCTTGGGAAAGGGTTGGCTAGGCATTGAGAAGCCCAATATCAAGAGAAGCCTTGATACAAGGAGTTTTAAGAGCAAGATTGATTAAGTGTAGTTCCTCTGATTGCAAAACCCTGTCTTGAACCCTAATTCTCGCATTAGCTTGTTAAAGTCGCCTTTAGCTTTTTTCAACTCGACCCTAAACTCGATCGAGCTGGTACTCTGTTCCCACTCGACTCGAGTCCTTGGTCGAGCTGCTTGCTTACTGCTTTCTTTACTTTTATTGCATTGCATTTCTTTTCATTAGGTTGTTAGTGTTACTTCATCTTTACTGCTTGCTTGACTTCCTTGTTTTCATATTCTCATAGAGTGACAATTTCCCATTTTGGATTGATAACCCTTATACTTCAATGACTATGATGGTTAAGGGAATTGTTGACTGTGTTTGTGTTTGCATCTTACCACCTCATCTTATATACCACTGTTGCATTCCACCTCATTCATTTCATATCATTCATCACATCACACACACAAATTATCATCAATCATCTTTCCAAGATTTGGTATCCCAAGACTTGTGATTACTGATGGAGGATCTCATTTCATCAACAAGGTCTTTGAAAGTCTTTTGAAGAAAAATGGAGTGAGACACAAGGTTGCCACTCCTTATCACCCTCAGACAAGTGGACAAGTACAGATTTCTAACAGAGAAATCAAGAGGATCTTAGAGAAGACAGTGGGAATGACAAGAAAGGATTGGTCAGTCAAGCTTGATGATGCTTTTTGGGCATATAGAACTGCATTCAAAACCCCACTTGGAACAACTCCTTTTCACCTTGTCTATGGAAAGGCTTGTCATCTTCCTGTTGAGATTGAGTATAAGGCGGAATGGGCAGTAAAGAAGCTAAACTACGATATCAAGACAACAAAGGAGAGGCGCTTGATTCAGTTGAATGAGTTGGATGAAATTCGTCATAATGCCTATGAGAATTCTAGGATCTACAAGGAAAGAACAAAAGCATATCATGACAAGAAGATAGTCCCCAAGACGTTCTCTCCCAGTGACCAGGTTCTCCTTTTCAACTCAGGCTTGAAACTCTTTCCCGGTAAGCTTAGATCGCGATGGTCCGGACCTTTTAAGATAAAAGAAGTGAAACCATATGGCGTTGTTGTACTATGGAACCGTTCTGGAGGTGATTTCACTGTTAATGGACAAAGACTCAAGCCATATCTCGCAGACATTGATGAGGATGAGAGAGAAACAGTTCCTTTAGTCGATGCCCCACTCGCCTAAGAAGAGGCATGTCGTCAAGCTAATGACAATAAATAAGCGCTGTATGGGAGGCAACCCATAAGGTGTTTTTTTTTCCTTTTTAATTTTTGTTTTAGTTTAATGGTTTTTATTTTGGTTTTGAAGTTTTGTGTACAGAGATTTGAGAATCTAGCATGAAATTTGAGTAGAAACCTAGAGAAATGAAGAAAGGGGCAATCATGTGGCCGGGCCGATCCCGATGACCACTGGAACGCATCCGCGGTCGGCCGTGTTCCCCCTGGACCTCTCTCCTACAACCCTCCATCCCATCCCACCTATCATATTCCACAATCCATCCCATCCCACCATCCATCACATCCCACTTATCTTTAAAGGAGGCTTCAAAGGAGGTTCATACCCAATCTCAAGGAACAAGGCAGGCAACACCTGGGAATGATAAAGATGGGTTAGAAAATCACTTTGGTCGAAGAACATCTCCATTGGCCCGAGTGGAATTGAAGATATTCTAACCAGCCTATTTCTCTCGGCCATGGAGGATACAGGGAGAATAATTATCGGCCATCTCCCTAACCGTGTTTCCAAAGTCTAGCACACTTCACAGGCGGCCATAAAATAAAATTTGGTTCGTCAAATCCAAAAGATAGGACGGTGAAATGTTCACGGTTCAGGCGATAGACCAAGGAGCCACATCCGGCCGATCTAGGTCAAGAAAATGGCCGAAACCAAATCACGGCATAGGCGCGCCCACCAGCTGGACAACACTTCATGGAGATTTATTAACACATTTCCAATGGAAGATTACAAAACGAACGAGTCAATCTCAAGGATGGCCAAGAAACCTCTTCCTCGAGCCGATTGGACGACTTTGTGAAGGATCGATTCGAATGATCTCAAACTTCACCATTGGGCATAAAATACCAGGTCGGTCGATGAAATTTAAATATGGGTCGAAGAATTATTCATGGTGTGTTCTGTAGTTCATAGCATACCCATTCGGACGACCGAAATGGACCATACTCGGCCAAAACGCAAACCGGAGTGAACCAAGCCCTGAAAATCAAAACTGACCGACCAATATCACATGAGGAAGTCTCCCATTCACCAAACCGGCCCTGAGCTTCATGACGTAAGGCTTATCTCAACCTATCAAAGGACAAGTACAGCCACACACCACCATTGGGTCGTTTCTTCATGAACTTAATGTCTAATCAGGTTACATCTTTCCTCTCATTCACAAACCGCTTACTACCTCTTTCTTTTTCCTCCCTTAATCGAATTTTCTTTCACCGGGACGATGCAAGTTCAGTCTGGGGGGATTATTGTCGGTACTAATGTGTTTGTTCATGCCTTGTCTTCATCTTATATTTTTTTTCTCTTTTCCACCTTTTTCAAAACTTTTTTTTTTTGTTTTTATTGAGTCAAAACCTCGTCCGGAAACTATGAACTTGCTTTGAGATTTGCCGGTGTTGCGCTAACAATCCATTACCCTAGAGCAAACATCAGCTAAAGGCACAAGCCTAACAGAAGCTCTAACGGTGGATCGACATGCTAGCTCAGCGAAATTTCTAAGGTAACCAAGCAATCTAAAGTTAAACTCGCCCTTAATCAATCTTAATAACTCTTGTCAAGGGGATTGATATACATATTGGCAGTTCCTTGCTTGATTTTCGATGAGATATGTCTAACCTAAAGTGCAGTTCTCCTCTCTCTCCCATCCTGGAAAATGTAGTAATGAATGAGAAAAGGTTTTTGAGCAAAAAGGAAAACAAGTAACCATGAGGAATGCATATGTCTGTACCTTCATGTCTTATGGAACACCTTATTAAAACAAGGAACAAGCAAAAGACTTATCCTGTGTTGATAGAGGGGTCGATAGAAAAAATAAAATGATACCCTAGAAAAGTAGGGAAAATCGACCCTTCAAAAGATCTAGATGTGAGAAAGAGAGAGGAAGAGAACTCAATGTGCTTCAAGGACTATCTTGGAGGAGATCAAGTGCGTAAGAACAAGTACTTAATGATTGATATTCCCTTGATAAAGAACTCACGCTTTAAATTTTTGCAAGAGGTTAGTAATGGAAAGTTTTGGATTAGTGGATGAGACTAGTTGAGTTGGTAGTGTTCGCTAAACTTGCAGGCTGTATGTAAAGCTAACCTTATGTTGCCTATGTTCTTAGTGGAATATCGGAAAGGAACCCATCACAAGATTTTCAAAGAGGCAAGGGAGTTCCCACATTTTCAAACCTCTTTCACGGATTTAGATTCTATTTGCTTGGGGACAAGCAAAGATCTATGTCTGGGGGAGTTGATATACCTCTATTTTACATGCTTTTTATATGTTTTACTATGATTTTCATAAGGTTTTTAATGGCTTTCTGATCTAAAAAGGTAGTTTTTATGTATTTATAGTACTTAGAGTCTAAACAGGTCAAAAGATGCATTTTGGAGCAAAACACATGATTTGGACTTCAAGACCGCTCCAGGACGTAGCATCAACTTTAGAAGGGCCTTAAAAACATTATACTCAATGGACATCAGAAAATCCAGTTCGACGTGATGAATAAGTGAGTTATCTTTGCAAAGCAACTGGAATCAATCAATTTGACCGAGTAGATTGGGAGATATCTCTATTTCCCTGAGACATATACCGAGGAGCTTTATCGGACTGCATCATTACATAAGACGAGAAGCAGCGGCTTGGACCCTTAAACTCAATGAGTTTTAATGAAACTCAACACCAAGATATACAGATGAGTTAGTGTTCCAATTCCGTTGGAAGTATGCAATTGGGATAAGCCGTTTCGGAGATATCACGTTTGTACTGAAGACTGGTGCACAGCCGGCCGAACGCACTCGGCCGGACAGGAAGGGAATTGGATTCGCTCGGCCTTCACCAGGACCGACCCGCACGACCACACCGTTCGATCCGGGAAGCATTACCCCGCGGTCAAACCAAGATTTACCACATGTCCCATGCAGCCAACCGAGCGCAGCGATCGATCCGGGAAGCAATGAACCGCGCTCGACCCATTCCTCGACATGCGATCAAAGCATCCGGCCGAACGCACCGGTCGAACAGGAAGGCAAAGGACCACGGTCGACCCAGATCATCACCTCACGACCAAGACCATTACATCACGGCCGACCCCGACGGCCGACCACATCCCTTACACGGTCGACCCGATCTCCGCGAACAAGAAGCCCACTTATGCAGTTTCGACTATTCTCAGCCCATGTAACCTAAACCGACTTGTGAAGACCTAGGGCACTATAAATACACCTTTTTAGCCTCATTACAAGGGAGAGCCGCAATATTTTTAGACATTTTTACATTGATTTCGTTTTAGAGCTTCATGGGAGAAGATCTCACCTTTGTAACACTATAGAGAAGATTTCTGAACCCTTTACTTCTTATCAAGTTTTATAATGAATTCTCCTTCATCTGTTTGTTTGATCTCTGTTACTATGTTTGAGTAATCTCCTTGTTGGGTTTTAAGAGTTTTCAAGGGGTTTTCACCACGCAGCAGCGCCCAAGACCGCGCACCGGCCGATCGAGGAACTATCGTCCCACGATCGACCCGCGCAGAAAATCACATCCGTCCCGCGTAGTGCACGGCCGAGCGCACATATCAACCCGGGAACCTTCCGCCCGTGGTCGATCCATTCCAGTCCCACGACTATGTTCCGCGCACAGCTGCGCCGCGCGAACCAGAAAGCATCGTTCCGCGTTCGATCTGCCCGCTTACCACAATCCCTGTACCGCATTGATGTGAGTCAGGTTTTACCAAACTCTTTAGACCTCTGCAAGTGCACAGATCGCGGAAGTATGGGTATCGAACACAAGGACTAGCTATTGAGTACACTTTGAAACTGGATTTTGGATCAAGCTAAACCAAAAGTATGATTGAGATGTTGTAATTGTAAGTAAAACTAGCAAGTAAACAAGTTGTAAATTCAGTGGAAAGAAGCGCCAGGTCAACAGGGGCTAATCGCAGAGAAGCAAACAATGATCAATGAAACAATGATAGATGATATGATGTAGGGATATTGGGATATCAAAACCATCTATAACACAGATCACGAATATATAACCTTTCAACTTTCGAGGCTCCGGTTCTTTTGTTAATCTACCTAGTCGCTAAAATTTTCGTATGTGATGGTAAATGTTTGTGTGTGGATGTGAAAAGTAGTGAAATGGGATGAGTGGAATGCAATCAGTGGTAAATGATGGTGGTAAGATGCAAACACAAACACAGTCAACAATTCCTCTTAACCATCATAGTCATTGAAGTATAAGAGGTTATCAATCCAAAATGGGAAACTTGTCACTCTATGAGAATATGAAACAACCAGAAAGTCAAGCAAGCAGTTATAGATTTGAAGTAACACTAACAACCTAAGAAATGAAAATGCAGTGCAATAAAAGTAAACAAAGCAGTGAAATAAGTAGCTCGACCAGGCTCGAGTCGAGTTGGGCAGAGCACCGAGCTCGATCGAGTTTAGGGTCGAGTTAGACGGAAAAACAGTAAAGGTGACGACTTTAACAAGATAAAGAGAGAATTAGGGTTCAAGACAGGGTTTTGCAATCAAAGGAATCTACACTTAATCAATCCAGCTCTTAAAACTCCTTGTATCAAGGCTTCTCTTGATATTGGGCTTCTCAATGCCTAGCCAACCCTTTCCCAAGGTGGAGGCTATCAACCAAGGAATGATCTCAGAAACAGGGGGTTAGCCAGTGAGAATCAAACCTTGGAGGCTATAGGATCATTGCCCAAACTAATCCATCCAACCCCTTAGACCTCTATTGTCTAGAGCAAGAGATATTGGAGCTCTTAGTGGATCTTTTCCAGCGAATGCCATCACTTCCGTGTGGGGACTCGCCTAAGGACTTACAAGCCAGGGGTAGTGGTCATGTAGCCTTAAGATCTATCCAAAAGAGAGAGAATCTAGATTAAGACCATAAGCTAGAAGGATTAAGCATATGAAACCTCTAATCTATCCCATCTCAAACCCTAATGGGTAACTACTCACTACACATGAATGTAAACACAAGCAAATGCAATAAAAGAGACATCATAAGAAAGAGGAGATGAAATTAAACAACTTTTATTGAAATAAGCAAGTGCAAATACAAAGCAAATTATCCAGGATCTAAGATTCAAGAAGCAAGAGCTTCAAGAACACAAAGATGGGATTAGGGTTGCTAAAAGTAAAAGACAATAAATTAAAGAAAGCTAAAACAAAATAATCTAAAGCTTGGTGGTTTTTTCGTGGCTTAGAGCCTTTAAATACAAGAGGATTTAGGTTTAGGGTCAAAGGGAAGTCAAGGGGGAAGCAACATTTTTCGGGTTTGACTTTGACTCCCCAGCTCGATCGAGTTGAAGCTTGGCCGGTCGAGTTTAGGTTTTGACACCCAACTCGATCGAGCTCGAGTTGGCACCCCCAAACTTAGCCTGAAAACAATCCCAAGAGAACTAGACAACTAGAACTACTGCCCCTGCCGGTTTAAACACAACACCTTATGCTAAGCAAAGCCAAGAAAGGTTCTCACATTCGCACAAGAGATAATAAGGGGTTTGAAATGAAAAGGCTTAGGTTTAAGGTGTGGTAACTGTCTCAAAGATAGAGATCAGCTATCTGGACAAGCAAAAGGGATATGAAAAGGTAAAGAATGTCCAGATATGTATGTGGTAGCCATGAGTTGAAATCAAATGCAAGCATTGGTAATTAAAGATCAAGTTATGGTTCAAATAGATAGGGAAATGCATCAAATCACAGCAATGGTTGAATGAGATGTGCATGCAGTGATATGATCAAGATAAACATGGTTCTTGCTGCTCAATCAATCTCACCCTAATGCACAAAAGAATCTAAAAACAGGGCACTCAAGAAATCGCAAAAGATGGACAAGTTTTCAAAGTCAAATCAACAATGCAAGTGAAAAATGCAATCCTAAACAAGTCTACAAATATGAATGCAAAAAGATGAAAATATTTTTGGATTTTTTGAAAATTTTATGATTTTTTTGGTTTTTCTATGCAAAAGATAAATGAAAAACTAAGAACAAAGAAAACAAGGTTAAATCATCTCTTGAACCCTCCCCCAAACTTAAATCACACAGTCCCTTGTGTGAGAAAAATTTAGTGAAAGATTCAAGAGGGCAAAACCAAGAAAAAACAAGAACAAATGAAAGAAAATATGAAATGGTATATACAAGGGTTGGTGTTTGGATACCTCAGTGCCCCCAAAGAACTGGGAGGCTAGGTCGTGGTCTGGAGATGGGAGACGGCCATCAGGAGCACTCCACTCAACTGGGTTCGGCTCACTCGATCGAGCTTGTGGCTCCTCTTCCTCTCTTCTTCATCTTCAAAGTGTGTGGCTTCCTTGGCCTTGGTGGAGCATTGTGCTCGCTCGAAGCGGTTGTAGGGGTCCAGTCTGAGAGAAGTCCTGGTACTGGGTTGATCGTACTCGAATCCCAGGATCTCAAACAGGGGCTCCTCCAGGTCAACTCGACCGTCAGCTCGATCGAGTTGAGTTTCCTCTGTTTGGACTCGATCGAGTCCGGTGGTCGAGCTGGAGCGTCTGGCCTTGGAAGTCTTCCTCCTTCTCTGCGTGTTGTCTTCTCCTTCCCTTGGCTCGAAAGAAGAGGCTCTGTGAGGCTCTTGGGCAGGGAGCCTCCTTTGGGTGGTGAGGAGTGACCTACTCCTAGGGAAAGTGGGAGGCCTTGGACTTCTTCTTGCTTGAAGAACCAGAAACCTTCTTCTCCAAACTTTTGATCTTGCTCACCATCTTGTCCATGGACTTTTGCATCTTCTCCATGGCTTTCCCTTGCCATTGTTGAACTTTTGGAGAAGTCCAATCCTCTTGTGGCAGCCACAACAGAGGGGTTCATCCTTGGAGCCTCATACTCCTCAAAGTAGTAGCACTCAGGCTCACCCAAATCCGCATTCCTGAGCTGTTCCTCACTCGATCCTCAGCTCGACTCAGCTCGATCCTCAGCTCGATCGAGCTCAGGCTCCTCTTCTCGCAAATCCTCTTCATGCCCAACTAATGTGTACACAGGGGGTCTGAAGTCAATGTTCTCACCCCTAGAACCTGTGGTGAGCTCAGGGTTGGGCAGGAGAAGCTTGGAGGGCCAGCCAATGGATGTGTGAACTTGAATTGGAACCTCCCATCCAACTCCTTGTGCTCAATGAGGAGGTTGGTCTTGCAAAACTTGATGTCCATCCCCTGGTTCAGTAGCTTCTCTTATCAGTTGGGACTCCAGCAGCACAAGATAGGTGTGATGAGCCCTCCAACACTAAGCTTTCTTCCTCTTTGTGCCTAGTGTTGTAAGCTGTCTTGTAGGAGGAGAGCTGGTCAAGGAAGAGGCATCAAGTTCCCTGTGGATCTATCTCCTCTGATCCTCTTGCCATCGCTTGTGCGTGAGAGATGGGCTTGATTCCCATGTCAAGAAACTTGAGTTCCCCCTCGTTGATTGTCCCGGTCGCCTTCCTTGCAAAGAAGGTGTTGGCAAGTGCCTTGTGCACATATCTCAAGACTGGGCTCCTGATCTGAGCTGCCTTGGACCTTGAGGAAGAGTACACTCCATCAGCGATTGTAGCCCAAACCCTTTGGAGTTCCTCCTTGAAGTTCCACTTGGTTCCCTCTCCATAGTTGAACCCAAAAAGATCTCCAAGCTGCCTAAAGGTCACCTTCTCTTCTCTCCCTTAGCCAAGAACGTGATCCATCCCAATCCTTGGTCCAATCAGCTCTATCCTCATACATGTGGTACCTCATTGAAGCCAAGAACTCACAAGTGAGCTCCTTGTAGGATTCCATGCGGTAAGAGAAGAACTTGGCCAAGTGCATGTTCTTGAGGACCAACTCCACATCTCAAAGATCCAAGGCCTTCATTGTGTCATCATGTGGGTACTTGGTCTCCACAAAGTCCATGGAGAAGAGAGCATCATAGTGCTCTTGGTACATGGGGAGCTCATCCTCTTCTTCCTTGACTCCTCCTCTTCCATGGGCACATTCTCATTGCCCTCATGCTCACTCTCCTCAATCTCTTGATTGATCTCTTCACCCTCTTCTATGTTCACCCAATTTCAAACTCTCCTTGCTTCACTCTCACTACTGAAGGATCATTCCTCTTTTGGTTCTCCTTTCTTCCCTCACCCTCTCAACCTCTTCCTCATGTCCTCCTTGGTTTGTGTTTGAGTATCCTCCTTGCTCCTCTTATCATCTCCCTCCTTGTGAACGCTGGCTTGCTTCCTTCACCTCTCAACATCTTAGATTGTCCTGAAATGCATCAAAATTACAAAGAATTAGAGTTGTAATGATCGGTTTGGTCAACTCGACACTCAGCTCGATCGAGTCAAAAAACTCGAGTGACAAACTCGATCGAGTTGGGTGAAAACAGAGTATAACCAAACCTAATTCAAGTATTAAGAGCTGGAAAGGATGCTAATCAATCAAATTGAACCAAGAACAACTAGTAAATGGAACAATGAGCAATTCTAGTGAAAACATAGCATCTTAACCAATACCAAACTCAAATTCAATTTCAAGCACATGCAACAAGTTTAAAGGCAAAACAGAGGTGAGGTGAGGCAAATAACAAGATTATACAAGGGAAATATGAAGCAATTACTCAAGAACAAGTCCACAAGGGACACATGCAATCAAAAATCAAGAGAAACAAGCAATAGGAATCGAGATGAAGAATCAAGGGTTTTAGGGTTCATACCTTGCTTGAATGATGGAATTGAAGAGCAGTAAACTAAGAACAAGCAAAACAAGATGAAGAACAAAGAAATCGCAAAAACTTAAGAGAGAAAGGGATTGAAAATCGATTTTTCTTGTGGTGAAGAGAGAGAGATGGATGAATTTCAGAAATTTAAGATGTGGGAGAGAGAGAAGTGGATTCGATCGAGTTATGGGGAAGAGAGTGTTTGAGATGTGTGGTTGAGATTAAAAGATGAAATAAAGAGGGAACAAGAAGCTAGGGATTCTCTGATCAAATTAGGGTAGTGGGGGACCAAAATCAGCTTGTGGGACCCACTCCCTTGACCAAGAAAACGGTTATGAATTTGAAATTCAAAAACTTACCTCGGTCGAGTTGTGTAGCTCGATCGAGTTGCCCTGGTTTCTAGCTCGATCGAGCTATCGGTCGAGCTGGCTCCTTGACACCTAAACTTAACTTATTGAAAGGTTAAAACATAAAGATAGATAGAAATTGCATAAATAGAGTATGTACAAGGATAAACATGGGACTTCCTCCCAAGTGAGCTTGTTTAAGGTCCCATAGCTTGACCTTTACCTTCTTAGGCATTGGTTGAGCTAGTCCCACCATCAAGGGTGATAGTGAGGACTTGAGACAGAAGCTCCTTTAGCTTGGTTGGGTCCCTGGACTGTTCTGAAGTCACCAAGGCCTTGGCTCTAGAGAATGGCCTTGATCTCCCCTTGTACCTTATCTTGTACTCAATCTTCCCATTTTCAAACTTGGTGGGGAACAAAGTCATTGTGAGCTGAGATGGCTTGACTGAAGGGGCCTGAGCTGGTGGATCCTTTCTTTTATCTCCTGGTCTTGCCTTAGAGGCTGCATCCTCCCCTTCTTGTAGAGCCCTTCCTAGTGGCTCATCAAACAAAGCTTGAAGGCTCTCTTCATCAAGCACACAAGGGGCTTGAACAAGTCGCTCAGCTCTTGGTCCTATCAGATCGTGGTTTCTCAACTCTAGCCCTCTCAAGACGTGGCTTCTCAATCCTTGGTCCTCTCTCATCCTTATCCTTCCCAACTCTTGGTTCCTTGTCAACCCTTTCCTTCACAACCTTTGTAGCTCCATGACTCTTAGAACTGAGATTGGTACTGTCAATTGTGGCACAAAAGTCTGAACCTCTAGGCTGCAAGCGATATGACACCAAACTATTCACCTTGTGAAGGATCACTTCTTGCTTGTGAAAGTCAATTGAAGCGCCAACTGTACTAAGGAAAGGGGTTCCCAATAACAAGGCAAATCCTTCTCTTCTTCCATTTCCATCACAGTGAGATCAGTTTGGATGATGCATTCTCCAATTTTCAAGTGATAGTTCTTGAACACTCCAAGAGGAGACTTAGAAGTTGCATCTCCAAAGATGATTGAAGTAGTAGGGCGCTGCAAGGCTCCAGCTATGCCTAGCTTCTCTGCCATGGAGAGAGAGATCAGATTGATGCTTGCTCCAGAATCCACTAAGGCATTGTCAATCTCAAGATGCCCAAGTGTGCAAGGGAGAGTGAATTTCCCTTGATCCTTGACCTTTGGTAGGAAGGTGGGTGAAGTAAGCAGGTTGAACTGATGAGTAGACTCTTGTAGGACCTCTGAAACTTTATCACTGTTGGCTAGAACATCCTTGACCATTTGCATTTGATCAAATGCCTCACTCATGCTATCCATAGGAGGCAACTCAATTCCAATCCCACTGAGATCTCTTCTGAACTTGTGAATCACTTCCTTGTGACCTTGACTAAGTAGGCGAGACGAGGAAGCGGCAACTGGTTGATAAGGATCAAGCAAAACAGGCTGTCGGACAGAAGAGGTCGGACTCGATCGAGCTAGAGTTGGACTCGATCGAGCTGCCGATCGAGCTTGTCGTGCGAGCTCAACTGGTGAAGTGTGAATGGCCACAGTAGGTGCATGCACTTCTGGTTGATCAATCTGGACTCCAGGAGCCTCAGCAGCAACAATCTCTTCATCATTCAGCAGTAAACAAAAATCTTCAATGACCCTTTCTTGATCCTCTTCTTCAACAAGTCCTTCTTGAGTGAAGATGACCTTGCACTGTTCCTTGGGGTTCTGAATAGCTTTACCAGGTAGTTGTCCTTGCTTTGTAGCAGCAGCAACAGAAGAAGCATGATTCTCCAGAGAGTAAACCCTTGTGTTGAGGTTCTCGATCTTAGAGTTTATTTCAGCTAGCTTCTTGCTTGTGTCCACTACCCCATCAGCTTGCCCTTGAAGTAGTTGCTTTAGCATTGCTTTGAGCTCATTCTCTTGTGAAGGTGCAGGCTGGGGCGGTTGGTGGGGGAAGCCTGGTGGGATATTCATTTGTTGTCCAGGGAAAGTGCCTTGTGGTCCTTGGTAATTGTTCTTTTGACCATACCCTTGTTGTTGTCCTTGACTCGATCGAGCTGCTTGTTGTTGCGGATAGACTTGGTCCTGAGGGTTAGCAACATCAGTGTTGCGGTATGACATAGCAGGGTTGGACTTGTAGTTATAGTATCCTTTGTTGTAACCTCCTTGCCCATTGCTCATGTAGCATACCTCAGCAAATTGTGTATCCTCCCCTTCTTGGACTGGTTCCATCTCCTCAGCAGACACAAAGTTGAATTTCTTCATTGTGGACTGAGCTAGGATAAGCTTATCCAACTTCTCATTCAATGCCTTAACATCTTTTCTCAACTTTTCGTCTGACTCGATCGAGTGGTGGGTCGAGCTCCG